ATTTGACCTTATTTCAAATGATGTATATTTGCTGTTACTTTGATTTGTTTGACTTTGATCATTAATTGTTCATTGCCATATGCATCGCAATACATTTATTTACATTTATTGATTTGTCATATATAAGGTGATCAAATGGAATATGCTCAGGATTTTTTATTTTGCTTGATATTGAGAGGATAAATAGGATATACTTGAAATTTGACATAATATTTGAGATAAAAGATGGTAATAAATATTCTGAAATCTCTTGTTGATTTGTTAATCCGTTTATGCGTGGTTGGTAGACCAAATATTCCAGTTTATTTTGCTTTGTTTCCCTTATAATTTCGAGGATTTTTTTGGATGTACGATTTGGGAGAATCTTTTATTCATAAATAATAAGGGCAATGTATTTAAAATGAGTTTCAGTGTTTTTTTGCTCTTTAGCTTAGCGTTGCTTTGTGTGATTTTTTTCCATTTGTTCTATTGCATTTAAAGATTTTTCTTAATTTTATTTAACTTTTAGGCCGATGTTATCTGAAAAAAAGAATAGTGCAGCTGTATGTGATGTAAGTTTAAATATCACGCACTGAGTTAATAAATTGTTGCAATATCATGAAGCTAAAGAAAAATCTTAAATAAAATCATCGAATTGAAATTTTCCATCACCATGCAAATGAAGATTTTATTGGCAATATAAGTTGCTGATTCAAACGTAGTTGAAGTCCGTAGTTATAGAAATTTTATCTAAAGTAAATTTATGAAGCGAGAATACAGTTCGAAAATTTCATATGTCCAATGGTGAAAATAGGAATAATAAGGGAGATTGAGCAAGCATTTCTGATATCCAAAATTTTCCTGGGAATAAACAAAACGTTGTCCGTAAATGATTTTAGCTTAGTGTATACAAAACAAATTTAATGAAACAAGCGGAAAAAATTGTGTTGGAAGAATTCCCGAAAAAGGTACTTGAATTCAATAACTTACTTGAGGTTAGTTTGTTTTTATTCTATTTGTTATATTTGCCTTTGAATCTGGGTTGAATTGACATGATAAGAAATTTACGAAATTTAAAAGTTTTTGTGAAGACATGTTTGCACACCAGTTAATCCTCGCAACTGTCGAACAGTTATTTTTTGTACATTATTTGGTTTTATTTGCCAAGCAGATTTTTTCACGTTAGATATTTTAATACTTGGTAACATTCTTTTAACTTATTTATTTATTTTGATTATTTTTTTCAGGACGAGCAGTTCTCTTATGAGCGACTGCCGGAGCTTTTACCAAATATTGACTTGGGGATTCCATATTCGGACCAACTAATCAAATATGCGGTAATTCTTGAATTTGAAGTTATTATTATTTCCTTGTATTGCTAAAAGTATCTTTCTGGATTTTGTTGGATCTATTAAAAATGGTATATTGCAGAATGACAGAAAATCTAATGAACATGAAAATGATGATGGGATTCTAAAAAAACGAAAAATTGATCATACGATTATCCGTCCGCTTCACGGTTACCTTTTATTCGTATTTGTGTATTTTATCAATGTTACAGTTTTTAGTTCAACCTTCGCTAGCGAATATCTGATATAATGAATGCGATTTCATATGGTAGCACTGTTTAAAATCAGAACAATAGGATTACCAGAATTGACTAATAATTTAGTACAGCTGGCTAGTGAGCAGCAGTCTCAAAGCGATTGCTCATCTTATTTAATAGTTCATGATCTTTGAATACGAATGATGTTGGTCGTCAAAACATTCCATTTGTTCAGATTAATCATTAAAAATCTGTGGTTTTAAAAATTAATAGTGAAGGGAGTTACCCATATCCAATGAATGCTATATGAATAATGTAGTAAGGGAATACACGTTTTTAGGCACTTCAGTCTATAGTTTTGTAAATGGGACCGTTAAATGTAACGAAAAACTTGCTGGTCTCACCGATATCACACGTCCTTTACTTCGTGATTCGGTTGAAGCGGTGAACAAGGTTTATTTTAAATTTTTCTCTTGTAGAAATAAGAAGTTTTATATATCCAACAATTAATCTTTTGTTATTCTATAGTCGTATGTTATTATAATCTAAAAATTTTTGTAAAATAGAAATCTTTTCAGGTAAAAATGTGGATCTTATTTTTGATTCCACGTATTGAAGATGGCAATAACTTTGGGGTGTCCATACAGGAAGAAGTTCTGAGTGAGGTCCTCTTTCTTAGAATTTTAATTTCTAAAATCCAAACATACATTTTTTATTTCATCATCGTCTACTGCGCTGTATAGTAAATTTCGAATTTGTGGTCAAATTCTAAGATTTAGGGTCCGTCGAAATATACATGAAACTTGAAACAGTTGAAATTCGAGATTTTCAGGTGCGTACTGTAGAGGGTGAAGCAGCATCATTTCTTGATCAGATGTCTCGATATTTCGTTAGTCGTGCTCGTTTGGTAACTAAAGTAGCCAAGTATCCACATGTTGTAAGTTATATGTGTTATTTGTTTCTGAAATCTCAAGATTTTACTTTATGATGGTTATATGTAAATCATGTAATTAGAATATTTCTACTATCGGTGTTTGCAGATTTTTTAATCTTATGTTGCCTAAGAAAAAAATCGACAAAATTCTTTTTAGGAAGATTACCGTCGTGCAATTCTGGATATGGATGAGAAGCAGTTTATTAATATCCGTCTTGTGCTGACCGAAATGCGCAATCATTTTGCTACCCTTCACGATATGATTACGAAAAATTTCGAGAAAATCAAAATGCCACGAAGTAATAATGCGGAACATATGTATTAATTAGTAAATTTTAAATTATGATTCATATGTTCTTATGACATTTGTATGGAAAGAGATCACTGAAGGCTTGTGTACAATGTGTATGAAGTAATGTCGGTCTTTATGTGCCCTTTTTTCCACTCTGGTGTTAAGGTGGACATAACCTGAAAAATAAGTATTCCTTGAGCGCGTAATTCGCTTTTTCAAATCCAAGCATATCTTTATCTTTGTGTTGCTTTATGTCTATTTAGATTAAATTAGATACAGCATAGAGGTTCTAGTCATATTCCTCACTTCGGATTTTCATAATTCACTGATAAATAGGTATGAGATTTTTTGTTGTAATTTTAGTGCTATGACAGAGTAGTTTGTAATTTCATTCTGATGGTCATCCAAAGTTACACTTTCCTTAAAAGATAGTTCAAATATTTTGAACTAGCTTTTTTTGCTTGAAATGAAAAACATTTTTGTTCTTTTGTGAAATGCAAAAATGAGAACAAAATGACTGCATTCGTCATTTTACTAAATTTTGAATGAATAAAAAGTTTCTTGATTGAAGTTAATATTATGTAACATTTACATATTGTCTTATTTAGAAGTGAATATTTTGGATTACTGCAAAATAAGTATAAATATCTTATGCCAATAAATAACATTTAATTGTTGCTCCATTATTGTGAGCATCATACTTCAAACGAATTTTATATTTTTGATTTAATAGTTTGACAAATTAAGACGATGGTATCAAAAAACATATTCATATTATGTCCAATATTCAATCTTATGAGATTTTATGGAGCTTAATAGCAATGCGTAATAATGACATTCTTATAAGCAGCGGAATGCAATTGAGGATGAGCGTTATTCGGAAGGCATAATGATAGAATTGCGTTGAGATAGATGGTAAATTAGATGGTGCATTATAAATCACCCACTCTCTGATTTGATCAATTCTCTTTTTTGACAACTCATTTTCTTCCCTCCATCATTTCATTCATTGTACATTTGCATCCACATCTGCCTTGGCTATGATATTTCATTGCTTAGGCAGATACTTTTATCTGAAAATTTTTCATTATTATCAGTAATTTGCGAAATAAAATTTTTTCTTCCAATTGTTTCACTTTCATTATTTAGTGATGATTATTTATAATTTCGATTATCATTGTTATTGCTATCATTAAAATATTAGTATGGGTACTATTATCACTAAGCGCATTGTTAAATTGACATTTAGAAATTCTGTTGTTCAAATTCCAACCAATTTATGATGCAAAAACCGGCAAGACACTGGAATAGCAAATGCAACTGATTAATATGAACAAAGAAATGAAAATAAGGAAGGAAGAAGGAAATATGAAAAAAAAGGAAATCTCTACGCATCAGTACTATTCGTTCTAACACTAATCGGTCTACTATAAATATCGGGTAGAAATTTTAGACTGTCAATGTTCGGCACTTGAAGTAAGTGCAACTCTTATCGTAAGATAGTATTCATTATCAATTTCTCTTAACGTTAATATCCTAATCATTGTCCCTCAAGAAAAATTTATTGTGAAAACGTTTCAAACATTCAACATTTCCAAGTAGAAGGTAATACATTAAAATATGTTGAAATTTGAAAAGAAAAATTGATAATGTCAAATCTATCTGCTTTAAATTCCATTCAGATTTCATTGAGATTTAATGTTTCGATAAATTGATTAAAAAGAAATTTTTGTTGCTTCACCAATTGTTACTTTTAAAAAATAAAATTTCACATTACAAATTCATTCAGACTGTTAAGAGCAAAAGTTTAGGGTTAGAAATAGATATATGAAAAGAATAGAAGATAAGCACGGGAAAGTGAAAGGGAAAGATATTAGAATATATTGCACGAAGTCAAAATAACAGGGTCGATGTTAGATTTTGTCCTTTATTTTAATACATTAAATTTTTTTTCAAAAAAAAATAAACGAAAACAAAGGGATGTGAGAATTTGCCATTGCTAAGAATTTGAAGTGCAATTCAAACGAAGTTGGTTTTCTTAATTCAGTGAGATCGAACAAATTTCTGAATAATTTAGTCACATTACGATTTAAATGATTGATTCGAATCGATTCACTCTTTCTCATTGATAGTGTTACAAATAGCGGAAGTTTTGTTTTTCTTTCCCTTGCCATAGTACAAGAAAAAAAAAACGAAATTACAACGATTATATTATTATTCTGATCAGCATCAGTATTTAAAAATTTTCAAATCAGCAGCACATGCACACGAAGATACAAACAGTATATATGATATGCATGCTGAATTGCATAAAATATGCTTATGAATGCCGTTTTACTGAAGGAAATCAATACATTTAAAATGTAATTTTGATTTAACTAATTTAAGGATTTTTTTCCTAACATTTTTTTCAAATTATTGCACTCGTTACTTCAATGCTTAAAATGTAAACAATCTGTTTTTTTAAGCTGAAAAAATTTGTTCCATTTGAAAAGAAGAAAAATAAAAATTAGCAATGACTACGATACCGTGAAAGCTTATTTAAATTACTCTTTTCAATTCGTTAACTGTTAAGCATTAAAGCAACGAGCCCAATAAGTCCTTTCTCAATACCATCCATCAGATTTTTCTATTTAACTGTAACCTATGTATAATATTACTTGTACTAATCTGGCGAATATTAACCTTGAAATCATTCATATACTTGGCCATCGTATATTTCATGTTTATGCTACCTTTTACAAAACCGTCATTTTGAAATTTCCATCTGTTAATAATAACAAAATTACTTTGCTTGCAATACATCAAAAGAATTCAATACAACTATTTGTTACGAAAAGCATGAATGAATGAGAAAAGCGTAATGATTGATTGATTGATTGATTGTTAAAGTTATTATTTCAGAATGTTTATTTAATAATTTAATAACAAAATATAGTGCATTTAGTCTCAACCGGTAGTTAAAAAGATTGAGAAATGAGTGGAACGCTCACACTGATGCAAAGGGTGAAACTTCATATTATCTCACAACACCTATCAATCGGCAGTCCGTTATTTCTTATAATTTGAGCCGCTTATTTGTCCAATTCATTAGTTCCCTAACAATTTCAACGCTTTTCAATCAAGCAGCATTGTTCGATATCAATATTTCAATTTTTAATCAATAAAAAAATTTAGCCATAGTAGTATGTAGATGTGTACACGCTCTATAACTCTCTATTTCATTTCTCATGTAGCATTTGACCTCATCATCAAGTACTTTGGATCGAAGTTTATTATAGTTTTAGTTTCATTTAGCTAGAAGTATTAGTGAGACATTTTATAATGCTGTTTCTTCTTCATCTACTATAAAACATGTGACTTCTGAATATGAAAAGGAATTTGGAATCTCTACGGCTTAATTGTTATCGTGCTAACAGAATGTGAGGAATAATTCTTCTGTTCGATAACTTTAAATCTAAGAGAAATGCAACAGGAACTATTACTATAGCAATTCATTGCTATTCAATTTCCCCGTAATACTTTAATTGTTAAAAATGGATTGTACTCGTTGCTGCATCTGAAAGTAATGGTAGTTAAAAGCATATGTAAGATCAAGAAAACAATCTTAGATATACTTTTAATTATCATTATCTTCAGGCAAATGAAGACAATAAGAAGCCACTGTTCTGATTATAGTAAAAATCGATTAATCCGATCGAATCTTCATTGTCTTCTTCAAACTAGATTGATTATTTTATAAAAGAAGACATTTGCTTTCAGAAATTAAAAAAGTTCACATGACTCTAAAGTATTTGAATTAAACATTTGTATTAATTAAATGTTTGTATTGAATTTAAAAAGACAGTACTTCTTCTACAAGAAAAGTCCTATAATTTTCAACAAATTCATCAAAAATGCCATTTGCCATCAGTGAATTCTAATTTCTTTTTAACATTTTGACAGAACTATAATTTCGAAAATTTCGGAAGATATTCATTCATCTTCTTCAAAATTGAATCTAATATTTAAATGAATCAATTTTTAATTAACTTTTGCTTTGCCGATAGATGCCTAATATTAGACATTTTGAATGATTGGAATTTTATAAAAAAAAAGCTGGTCATCTTATTAATTAATCCATACATCATAGCGGTTCGAATCCTTAGAGAGATAATTTAAAATAAACTAGACTAAGCTGAATTAGATTTAAACTGACAGATGTACGCAGATGGTAGGATTACAATAAAATTTCAATGATCTCATTAAAAATTTTATCATTAGTTTTTGAATCAAAATTCCAAATTTAGTGATAAAAATTTTAAAAAATGCTTTTAACGAAGAATTGTTAGCCGTGATCTCTAATGGAAAAGGAATTTTTGAGAATTAATGTTCCACATGAAATCACGCCGCAATAACAGGAATGTATAAATAGCCATCGATAATGGCTTCTTATCCAATATAATAAATCGAGCAAATATTTATCATACACACCTTCTAACAATATTTTCTTATATTAACTCCTTGCTAATCACTCTTTTTTGTTACATTTCAATCTTATAAAATATTAAAATTTCTTATACATTTTCTAAGAATCTTTTTATAATATTGTTTATGTGATCATTTAATAATATTTTTATAGATGAAAGATTTAATTAAATTCGAACATTAATTATTTTTGACTGACTGACCAAAATTTCGCCCTTCATTTTATCTTAACTAAAATTTCAATTGAAATGAGCGTAGATTTGATGGCATAGCGATTATATAAGCTGGAAATTGATATAAAACTAATCCATCACTGAATCATTAATAAATTTCAATGGATGATAAAAGCCACTCGTCTCACATTCTATTGTCTTATGACAATATTCGTTTCGACTGAGTAGAAGGCTTGTAAAAGTTAGAAGAAATTTTATGATTTTATGAGTTATAAAATATCTTTTAGAATTGCTTGGAAAATCCAAACAACATTTTGTTTTTCTCATTTTTCACTTATTTTTTGCATCTTCCAGTTGTAAGATTAAAAAAGGAAATGAGTGAAAAAGTAACTTACAGAGAGATATTTCGAATAAATCCGAATATATTCGAACAAATTTTATAATATAATTAAACTTTTAAATGATTTGAAATTTTGATTGGAATTTTTTTCTTTATTATTAGCTTTTTATCGTAATAAATGACGTTTATGACTAATAATTTATTATAGTATATTGGTAATTTGCCTTAATTAACTTCGTGCTTATTAGCTCTTGGAAGCGAAGTGCTTTATAGTTATTTTCATCTATTCTCTCCTTCTATGTTCTTTCATGATCCTTTTGTATTCTTTACAAAAAATGTTGGTGTCATTAATTAATCAATTTAGGACTTAACGTGAATTACTTATTTCTCAAGATGTGAAGTGCGTGTGTTTCTTAATGACTTTATGACCATTTATCATTGTTGTTGTTATTTCTGATCTTGAAGCATAATTCAGAAAGTTTAAATATAATCCAAGGTATTACTGCAAAAAGAATTCATTCTTAAATATTTATAATTAAATAGTTAATTGATTAATACACTTCATGTTACTCATTTTCTTATTATTTCACTGGAGGATTATTTGAATTTTTTTAAATAGCATACGACATTACTGACGTAACATTGTATCAATTCTTCACCATTTTTATTTTCTTTCAGCATCTCGTTAAATTCAAAAATTTTTTTTAAGCAACTAAAAATATCATTTGTGAATTGCACACTCATAGTCTAACTGATTTTCCTCTTTTATAATTCACTTTTTAAATGTATTTTAGAATTACAGACAACTTGAATATAAATAAGTTATATCGACTGTGTAAAATAAACTTCATTAAAGATCGAAAGAATATCCGAAAAATCCAACGCGAACAGGTGCTCAAAATAAGTGTTTTAAAATTTCAGGAAGTAGCAACTGCTCATGTTGAAAATCAAATTTAGGTTCAAGAGAAATCAAGCAATATTTTGAAGGTCTTACCACAATAAAATTTTTTTTTCTTCTTTAACAAATTTATACTGCTATAATTGTGTTGCTTCGCCAATTTTAAAAGATATGAAAGTTAAAGAGAAGTTGTAATCCCAAATTATTTTATGTCCTAATTGCAGATTCGAAATTTATCAATGATCAGAAATAATGATACATCAAAAAACATCCGATTTAAGAAGTATCCAAAAGCTGGCATGAAGAAGATAAGGTCTAGCCTATGATAAGCATTCGTAAATTGAACATCACTGTTCTTTTCTTTTTTCAAACTTTTTTGGATAGAAAAAAGTGAGACATGAGGGACATAGGGAACAGAATGATTCGTAGTTATAGAAGTTTACTTATTAAAAGTAATTTTTCTTTCTGTCATATTTACATTTAATTTTTAAGACATGAAATCCAAACATAACAATGTGTCTTTTCGTTTAACTTTTGAATATCAATGACCAATATTCTATTGATATTTCAGTCTGTTGGAAATGTTGAATTGCAGAATCATAGTGTTAAGCCTTTGAAAATGCAGATGCAATTACATATGCAAGCATGGGTGCATATGCATGGAGTTGCAATTGCGAAACTGAATTATTGAAATATTTTTAGTATTACATAAATTTCGGAATGCATCTACAATTGGATGCATTCAACTTGTTAGTGTGAAGTTTAGTTTGGCACAATATTGGATCATATGAGTAATATTGTGTCAAATAATTAAGCCAAATCAGTTAATCCTCAACAAATTTTTTCCTTTTGATTAAAATTGTTTATAAAAAAATATTTGAAAATAAAACTGGAGCAATGAAATTATCCTAAGAAAGAATGGTTAAAGGTTAATTGCCAAAACAATAAGCTTGTTTTCTTTTCAATCAGCATCAAAGATTACTGAGACAAAAATCTCCAGAGAGTACTAAATAAAGAATGTTGAAGTTCCACCATCCATTCTCCTTCATATTTCTCATCCACAAACCGTTACCTATCAGGTTCCCTCAATCAGAACACTCTTCTGCAACTTACTCATTCTCAGCGAAATCTTCAGAAAAGATCCTCTGGGATCTCTTCAAATCTTTCAGTTTCAACTGAAAGCTATCTTCCTCCTATGGGTCTCACATCACTAATCAATCAGTTTACTTTGAAATGGAATAGTTCGAAATTTTTCATCTTAATTAACAATTTATATATTCTTTTTGATTTTCATTTTTAGGTACAATCATATAATTAAAATGAACATAAGTTGTTTAAGAGAAACAAACATTCAACAGACTTTCAATAAGTGAATTTTTATAATTCATTTTTATCATTAAGAAAATATCACTGCCGATTTTTTATCTAATAATTTCAAATTATCTTAACTTGTCATTTTTCCTTAACATTTCTAAAAGTACAAATTTGCACTAATTCAATTTCCTGCAATCCAATATTACATTCTAAGCAAGCAATATATAATAAAATCTAGATATTAGTGTTTCATTTTATTAAAGCAATCTTTGTAAAATTAATCTAAATATTTAAGAAACTTTGAGCAGTGCGATATGAATTTATAGCATTCACCAAGTAAATACAATTTTTAATTATCGATTTTGTAGGTTCATCCACGTCAATCAAAAACGATCGGGAAAGTTTTTTATTGATTTGCTAAAAGTTTAATGAAAATGGTTTGGCGAAACGATAGTAATCGTGTTCGTCGTCGTCTTCCAAACATTCCATCTGAAGCGAAAAGTTCTCCAACTTTGGAAAGATTAAATTTGGGAGGTATGCTACCACCTATTTTATCAGTTGACCATGTTGAACGGCCGACACTATTGGAGATGGATGATGACAGAACGAAGCAATTATCCTTCTCAGAACGTTCACTGTTCTCTTGGAGTCCTACAATTCGATTAACATTTCCTATGTATTCCACTCAACGGCGCGAACTTTTTACCGAAGAGGGTATGAAAATTGTAAACAGTTATTAAAAAACAGTTTTAAAAATTTTCAAGAAATATTTGAAAAATACTTAAAAAGTTGATTATTACTTATTAAGTTAACCTATTATTTTGACTTTAGGTATTTTCAAAACATTTGTTTGCCATCAGAAACCTTTTACTGTAAAAGGCGAATTATTCAAAAAGGGGGTTAAAATAAATCTTCCATTAGCAAAAGTTAATTTTGATAAGGGTAATGTATATCTTTAAAATATTTAAATTAATCAAGTATAATAAAAAACCAAAAATATAGCGTTGATTTTGATCATGATGCAGTAAATTGTTAAAAATTTAAGGCGTAAAATGTTCCAAATCAAGAATTATAATAAACACAAACAAAAATTTTGTATAATAAATGAAATTTGTGCAATCAGAAAAGAAGGATTAACATTAAACTTTTACAAATTTTTTGACTTTTTATCAATTTTTTAAATTCTAATCAATCAGTGAAATTACTTTCCAGTGCTAATACTAAAGTAATATAAGATATCTATCAAAGGAACTATGTCGAAATGATAGTTTCAGTTGTGTACATCTTCAAAATATTTAAATTAATAATATGCCACTAAGAATAAAATATCAGTTACCTAACAAATGAATGATTAAATGATCGGTATTGTATAACTGAGATTGACATTTTATCATGCTGATAACCCATGCATGGTCAGGCCGAATAGCCGGAAGAAACTGATAACTTTTATTTTAACCCTTTTTTCTATTCTAGCTGATTTATTTTAATTCATAGTATTTTTTAAATATATTTAATTAACTTTTATTGTATATATTTATCTATTTATAAAATCAGTAACGAGCGAACAATTTAATCCATATTTTAATTGAAATTTCAATTTAAATTTTTTAGTGAAAGTTATTTTAAATCTTGATAAAAAATTTGATTTTACTCTTTGCATGAATTTACTTCATGCTATTTGCAAGCCTCAAACATAACAATAAATAGCGTTTAGCTTTATTTTTCTAAAACTTAGATAAATTCATCAATACTATCTAACAATGGTTGAATGAAATTTCTGATTCCTTTTAAGCTCACTTTATGATTCAATCTAAACAACAAAGAAGAATTATGAAGTGTAGAAACGAGAAACTTTATTTTTATTTTAGACTAGAAAATGGAGAGAAGGGGAGAGAGGGAGGGAGAAAGTGAAGGAATTGTGATAGTTTGAGATGAAATTAGAGCAGCAATTATGAATTATAAAATGATTCTGGAAAGCCAATTGTTAGATTGTTGATTATATATCAATAAGTCTGAATTGTGTTGCAAAAGTTATTCATTTATCATATAATAACATGAAATTAAATCATCCAACTTTCATTCATTTCTATTTTTTTTGAGAAAAAAATTGATGCATTTCAGCAAAATTTTCTTGATTTCAAAATTGAATGTATTAAAAATAGGATTCATAAAGACTTCTGATTCCAATCTTATCCAAATTTTCAATGCATAATTCTAATGGATCAAGGATTTAAGATTTCAAATTAACGTATCACAAAATCCACTGCTTTCCATCCACAAAGAAAAAGAAATTAGTAATTTTAATTAAATGAAAGTTTGATAGATAAAATATTGTCGAAAAGAAATATCCTCAAAATTACATTTCAAAAGCAATAAAAAGACTCTTTCATTGAGGTGAACTAATTTAGTGATTGTCATAATTTTAAATAAATTTAAACTGAAAAAATTTTCATAAAATACTTGAAATAATGGCAAAACAAATAAAGATAGAGCAATTTTGTATGTGAAATAAAATGACTACATAATATTTTTTTCTTATTTTCTATACAAAAACTGTCAGGTCACAAGAATACGGTCAACATTTGTTCACCGATCAAAACATCTGCTCGAAGACGAACGGATTATTTTCAAATGGTGAGCTTTGTTTTTTTTCTTTTTAATATGTGCACGATGAAATAATGATATCAGTAAAAGATTGAAAAAAATTAATCTTTAAATAAGTATATTTGGATGAAAATTTACTAAATTTAATTTTTTTCCTCGAGAATTCTCAAAACATACCTAAGTTATTTTTAATATTTTAGAAAAAAAAGAATTTCATTCAGCTCAAATGCTGCTAATCTTAAAAATTAGTTTATAAAATCCAAAAATTGAAGAAAAAATCATTTCATCAAAAGAATGAATTGTTTTTAATAAAAAAATTGGTAATTTGAAAGGACAAATTTTGAGGATTAAAAAAAGAAATTGACAAACAAATCAAATGAAAGATTTTTTTTTTTTGGTAGATAATAATAAAATGAACGAAAAAAACTTAAATCCAAGAAACAATGATAGGAATTTTTTTCACAACAGCATATTTCCTTCATCTGACATTGCATTGATAATATTCTGATTACCTAAGATGGACAAATGATTACTGATAAGTTACATTTGAATGAAGAAAATTTTTCTGATGCAAATGCATCATTTTCTCTAGAATCCTTAAATTATGATATTACGAATTTTTGACATCATACCTGAATAGCTCTGTTTCAAAAAATATTTAATATTTAATACTTTATGAAATATTTATTTCATTTTCATACCTGAATAGCTCTGTTTCAAAAAATATTTAATATTTAATACTTTATGAAATATTTATTTCATCTTATCATAACTATCGCAATTATGATAAGAGAATAACTAATAAAATCAGTTATTGTTTTCGATTATAAATGTACTCAAATATGCACATATTTGAAAAACATTGATACAATTAACTTTTAGTTTTTCATTATGAAAAGTAGTCTTCGTAACTGTAATACTAAAATTTGCATATAATATAGCAATAGTTATTAGAAGCATAATATAGTGATATGAAGGGTAGTAAGATACTCTAGGTATGGTAAATTTTTTGGTTTTTATCTGTATCACATAGCCAAGCACTATTTTTTCCTTTTTTGCTCAATCTATCTTTTTCATTGCTAATCAGTCGGTACATTAATTGTTATCGTTGTATCTTCCGTTTACGCTTTTTTTAATTTATACGTTAATCTTTTTTTTCAAAATTTAATACTTTTCGCCGTTAAATATCAATTTTAATTGGTATTTAATAATTTGATTCAAATTTGGATAAGTAAGTCAATTATCATCAATGCTCTTTCCATCATGTAAAGTAAAAATGTTTCCATCAAATCTATTCATTTCACTATGCTAAATGATTTAAACAGATGAATGAATTGCATAATATTGACGAACAAATCTATAAACCTTTCTCAGTCGTGTATTTCCTTCTTTCTTTTTTCTCTATCAAATAATTTGAAAATTTTTTTTGCAACGATTTTAAAAAGTAAACATTTTCAATCAATACGATAGCTTGACTATTTTGTTGTAAGTTTCGATTTATTAAAAAAACAAAAATTTTTTGTTTTTTTAATGATAATTGTAAGAGGGAAGAACGAATCAAACCTATTTCAGTTTTTTATAATTGTTAGGCAAATTATAAAACTAAAATACTTACGAGTGCCTCAATCACAACAAACATGCTAACATAGTTTATTAATTTTACTCAACGGGTAATTTTCCACTGAAGAAGGATAATGGCAGTGCTAGGAAGTTTAATTGGTTACCAAAACGCAATTATATTATCTTCAATGGGTTCTCTCATTGTTTTTTTCAAATAAAATTTATTTTATTACTTGTTTTAAATTCCTTCTCTTTCGATCATGATTTTTTTTGGTTTCAGTTAAAAAAATATACAAATGATAATTTTTATACTATCAATAAATCCTTCAAAAAACTTCTGCACACTTTCATTTTTGATGTTTAACAGTTTTGATGAATTGGTGTATTTTTTTTATTATTTAAAAAAGCAAATTACAGCTTAAGTTGATTTAATGTTGGATGTAATTGATAGAGATAAAGCCATACTAAATCAATCAATAGAAGAAAAATGTTACGAGTTGATTGAAATTTTAGCTCCAACTATGCTAAACTATCTTTGGTTTTCTTAAAAATCAATAATAATACGATTCTTTTCCAAGCATACGGTAAATAAGACGAAAAGACCAATTTCAAATCTATCTTCAATCATCTTTCATAATAGTGGTCAAGAAAATTCACAATATTTAAGCATTTATGAAATTTAGAAATTAAGGAAGTGCCAGATTTGAGAAGACACTTTAATGAGTACTCAATTTATAAATCTTCAGATTATTAAAAAACAGATTTCTTTTAATTTCATGTTTTCTGATGATGAAACGAAATACAATTCATTCATCAATTTTCAAAATATGCTCAACTGGAAACTTGTATTGAAGTTTATATTAGCATCTTTAATTTAAATTTCAGCATTCTAATGAAATTGCAAAAAAGGACGAAGAAAAATGAATTAACTTACTTCTTTGTAATTTCAAGAAAATGTAGATTATTTTTACTTACTCTTTGTTTTACATTTGTAAGCTTAAAGAAAATAGCTTCATTAATCTTTTCTTCCATCAATGGTGACGCCATTAATAAAACTCTTTCTTTTAAACTTTCAATTACTTTTATTATTCAAAAAAAATTTTTTTTAAATTTTAAGACAAATTTTTGCAGACAAAATTTAGTTATCCATAAAGTGGTATATTTTTTTGTACCATCTTGAATTATATGATCTTTTTTCTCCGAATCAGATGGTGCTAGCGCTAATATCAAATTTAGTTTATATCTCAGTGATTTATAATTGATACTGTCTGTCTCGATATGTCTGAATAGTACACAATATGCGATGGATTATGTTTAATTCATCCATATGCAACCATTTTTCCTTCCTTGCACTTCGAAATTCACTCCTTAATCGAGTTATTTCTTTATTTTTTTTTAGAAGTGTTCACTTAATTTTTGTTCTGCTTTTATTCGTTCATAGTATAAAAGTTAATTGAATTTTGAAACAAATTTTACGAGAACATTTAACATATAAACTTAAGCAAATATCAAATATAAATTTAATTTGATGTTCACATCTTTTTTAAATCAATTTTTGAAATTCACAAGCAGTAAAGTTGGAGATATACGAAAAATTGATCTAAAAACTGGTAAAATCCATAGGTAAACTCAAGCTGCAACGAATGCTTAAAATTCATTTTCTTAAAATTTTAAATTGGATAGATTAACCGCTTCAGTTGCGCATGCAGAATTTGAGAATTGAAAAAATATTTGTATTATATTTAAAAATCAAACTTTATCTTACAAAATGTTGGACCTGAAATCTAAATGTAGA